GCAGGTGCACGGCAGCGTCTGGTGTCCGCGTGTCCGGAAACCTGCCCCGGGGAGCCACTGGCGACGTGTCCTTGCAGGAATATGACAAGTCACCCTGGCCGGGCGCGGGGGCTCGTGCCTGTCATCCCGGCACTCTGGGAGGCCGAGGAGGGAGGCTCGCTCGAGGCCAGGAGTCGAGGCCAGCCTGAGCAAGAGCGAGACCCCGTCTCTACTAAAAATAGAAAGAAATTCCTGGACTAGTGAAAATATATAGGAAAAGACATCAGTCCAGGCCCGGTGGCTCACGCCTGTCATCCCAGCACTCTGGGAGGCCGAGGATGGAGGCTCGCTGCAGGAGGTCAGGAGTTCGAAACCAGCCTGAGCAAGAGCGAGACCCCGTCTCTACTATAAATAGAAAGAAATGAGCTGGACAACTAATAATATATATAGAACAAAATGAGCCGGGCGTGGAGGCGCATGCCTGGAGTCCCAGCTACTCGGGAGGGAGGCCGAGGCGGGAGGCTGGCTGGAGGCCAGGAGGTGGAGGCTGCTGTGAGCGAGGCTGACGCCACGGCGCTCACTCCAGCCCGGGCGACAGAGCGGGACTCTGAGTCAAAAAGAAAAAAAAATAAATAAGCATCCCCCTGATTCGTGCCCAGTGTGGTGGCTTGTTTATATGCGTGTGTGTATATATATATATATAATATAATTTAATATTTTTACATAATTTAATAATTTGCTTGACATCTGAAGGGATAAGACCTCGTGGGGGCGGGATTTTTTTCCCACCCCGATATTCGGCCTCTTTCCTCAGAGCAAACAAACGCGACTCCAGCCTGCAGCCAGGCTGTGCGTTCTCTTTTTATTTTTTGCTTTCTTTTTTTACTTTTTGTTTTCTTTTTCTACTTTTTGCTTTCTCCTTTTATTTTTTGCTTTCTCCTTTTATTTTTTGCTTTCTCTTTTTATTTTTTGCTTTCTCTTTTTATTTTTTGCTTTCTTTTTTATTTTTTACTTTTTTATTTTTTGCTTTCTCTTTTTATTTTTTGCTTTCTTTTTTTTATTTTTTGCTTTCTTTTTTTATTTTTTGCTTTCTTTTTTTTACTTTTTGCTTTCTTTTTTTACTTTTTGCTTTCTCCTTTTATTTTTTGCTTTCTCTTTTTATTTTTTGGTTTCTATTTTTTGCTTTTTTATTTTTTGCTTTTTTTTTTATTTTTTGCTTTCTTTTTTTAGTTTTTGCTTTTTTATTTTTTGCTTTCTCTTTTTATTTTTTACTTTCTTTTTTTATTTTTTGCTTTTTTATTTTTTGCTTTCTTTTTTTTATTTTTGGCTTTCTCTTTTTATTTTTTGCTTTCTTTTTTTTACTTTTTGCTTTCTTTTTTTACTTTTTGCTTTCTCCTTTTATTTTTTGCTTTCTCTTTTTATTTTTTGCTTTCTCTTTTTGTTTTTTGCTTTCTTTTTTTTATTTTTTGCTTTCTTTTTTATTTTTTGCTTTCTCTTTTTATTTTTTGGTTTCTTTTTTTATTTTTTGCTTTTTTATTTTTTGCTTTCTTTTTTTTATTTTTTGCTTTCTTTTTTTAGTTTTTGCTTTTTTATTTTTTGCTTTCTCTTTTTATTTTTTACTTTCTTTTTTTTTATTTTTTGCTTTTTTATTTTTTGCTTTCTTTTTTTATTTTTTGCTTTCTTTTTTTTATTTTTGGCTTTCTTTTTTTTATTTTTGGCTTTCTCTTTTTATTTTTTGCTTTCTTTTTTGGGGGTGACACAGTCTCGCCCTGTCGCCCGGGCTGGAGTGCCGTGGCGTCAGCCTCGCTCACAGCAGCCTCTAACTCAAGCGAGCCTCCTGCCTCAGCCTCCCTCCCGAGTAGCTGGGGCTACAGGCGTGCGCCTCCACGCCCGGCTCGTTTTTTCTCTATATATATTAGCTGGCCAATTAATTTCTTTCTATTTATAGTAGAGACGGGGTCTCGCTCTTGCTCAGGTTTTGAACCCCTGGCCTCGAGAGAGCCTCCCTCCTCGGCCTCCCAGAGTGCCGGGATGACAGGCGTGAGCCTCCACACCCGAATAATTTTTTTCTATATACTTTCTGTTGGGCAATTAATTGCTTTCTATTTTTAGTAGAAACAGAGTCTCACTCTGGCTCAGGCTGGTCTCGAACTCCCGGCCTCGAGCGATCCTCCTGCCTCGGCCTCCCAGAGTGCCGGGATGACAGGCGTGAGCCTCTGCGCCCGGCCCAGCTCATTACTTCTATTTTTTAGTTGTTCGGCTAATTTCTTTCCATTTTTAACTTATTTTTTTAAATTTATTTTTATATTTTAAGTTCTTTTATTTCATGTTGTATTCAAATCTTATTGGATTGCTCTATTTTTAGTAGAGACGGGGTCTCGCTCTTGCTCAGGCTGGCCTCCAACTCCTGGCCTCGAGCGATCCTCCCTCCTCGGCCTCCCAGAGTGCCGGGATGACAGGCGTGAGACTACGCGCCCGGCCCGGCTCATTTCTCCTATTTTTTAGTTGTTCGGCTAATTTCTTTCCATTTTTAATTTTTGCTTTTAAGTTTATTTTTATATTTTAAGTTCTTTTATTCCGTTTTATATTCAAACCTTATCGGATTTTTCTACTTTTAGTAGAGACGGGGTCTCGCTCTTGCTCAGGCTGGCCTCCAACTCCTGGCCTCGAGCGATCCTCCAGCCTCGGCCTCTTCCCAGAGTGCTGGGACGACAGGCGTGAGCCTCCACGCCCGGCCCGGCTCCATTTTTTCTATTTTTGGTTGTTTGGCTAATGTCTTTCCGTTTTCAATTTTTTTTTTAAGTTTAATTTTAAATTCTTTTAGTTCATTTCATATTCAAACCTTATTGGATCTTTCTATTTTTTATTAGTAGAGACGGGGGGTCTCGCTTTTGCTCAGGCTGGCCTTGACCTCCTGACCTTGAGCGAGCCTCCCGCCTCAGCCTCCCTCCCGAGTAGCTGGGACGACAGGCGTGCGCCTCCACGCCCGGCTCATTTTTTTTCTATATATATTAGTTGGCCGATTAATTTCTTTCTATTTTTAGTAGAGACGGGGTCTCGCTCTTGCTCAGGCTGGTTTCAAACTCCTGGCCTCGAGCGAGCCTCCCGCCTCAGCCTCCCCTCCCGAGTAGCTGGGACGACAGCCATGCGCCACCACGCCCGGCTCGTTTTTTTTCTATATAATTTTAGTTGGCCGATTAATCTCTTTCTGTTTTTAGTAGAGACGGGGTCTCGCTCTTGCTCAGGCTGGCCTCGACCTCCTGACCTCGACCGATCCTCCCGCCTCGGCCTCCCAGAGCGCAGGGACGACAGGCGCGAGCCTCCGCGCCCGGCCCCCAGACGGGCTCTTAATATTTATTTTCCCCCAAGGAGACACCCCGGTAGGGCTGATGATTTTCAGGGCACGGGTCATTTGTTTTTTTTTTTTGTTTTTTTTTTTAAGCATGGCACAACCACGTCCCTGGATTCAAATCAAGGGAAGACGTCTACTTACTGGGACGTCCTCCTCCCTCTCCGGACCCCGGTTCCCCGCCCCGGGGGTCTCGTGACTCTGTTTCCCCTTTAGAACCGACCTCCCCCCCCCCCCTCGAGCCCCAGAGCTCTCTGGACGACGGGGCGGACGGGAAGGGCCGCTAGACGTCTGTCCCGCCCCGTGACCACACGCACACACACACAGGTCGCCATGCAGGCTTTGCCCTGCGTAACCATGGCGACCGTTGCTAAGGCCGGTTTTCAGGGTCGGGCTCTGACGGCTCAAATGCTCGGACGTCCCCCTAAGGGGCTGGTTTTGGGGTTCAGGGGGCTCTGACGGCTCAAATGCTCAGACGTCCCGCTAAGGGGCTGGTTTTGGGGGTCGGGGGGCTTTGACGGCTCAAATGCTCGGACGTCCCCCTAAGGGGCTGGTTTTGGGGTTCATGGGGCTCTGACGGCTCAAATGCTCAGACGTCCCCCTAAGGGGCTGGTTTTGGGGTTCAGGGGGCTCTGACGGCTCAAATGCTCAGACGTCCCCCTCATGGGGCTCTGACGGCTCAAATGCTCAGACGTCCCCCTAAGGGGCTGGTTTTGGGGTTCAGGGGGCTCTGACGGCTCAAATGCTCAGACGTCCCCCTAAGGGGCTGGTTTTGGGGTTCAGGGGGCTCTGACGGCTCAAATGCTCGGACGTCCCCCTAAGGGGCCGGTTTTGGGGGTCGGGGGGCTCTGACGGCTCAAATGCCCTGACGTCCCTCTATGAGGCTGGTTTTCGGGGTCGGGGGGCTCTGACGGCTCAAATGCTCAGACGTCCCACTAAGGGGCTGGTTTTCCAGGTCGGGGGGCTCTGACGGCTCAGATGCTCAGACGTCCCTCTATGAGGCTGGTTTTCGGGGTCGGGGGGCTCTGACGGCTCAAATGCTCAGACGTCCCACTAAGGGGCTGGTTTTCCGGGTCGGGGGGCTCTGACGGCTCAGATGCCCTGACGTCCCGCCGAGGGGCTGGTTTTGGGGTTCAGGGGGCTCTGACGGCTCAAATGCTCAGATGTCCCGCTGAGGGGCTGGTTTTGGGGTTCAGGGGGCTTTGACAACTCAAATGCTCAGACATCCCACTAAGGGGCTGGTTTTCGGGGTTGGGGGGCTTTGACGGCTCAAATGCTCGGACGTCCCGCTAAGGGGCTGATTTTGGGGGTCGGGGGCTCTGACGGCTCAAATGCTCGGACGTCCCCCTAAGGGGCTGGTTTTGGGGTTCATGGGGCTCTGACGGCTCAAATGCTCGGACGTCCCCCTAAGGGGCTGGTTTTGGGGTTCAGGGGGCTCTGACGGCTCAAATGCCCTGACATCCCACCGAGGGGCTGGTTTTGGGGTTCAGGGGGCTTTGACGGTTCAAATGCTCAGACGTCCCGCTAAGGGGCCAGTTTTCGGGGTCGGGGGGCTCTGACGGCTCAGATGCCCTGACGCCCCCAGCCGAGGGGCCGGTTTCCGGGGAGCCAGGCCCGCGTCCCTGGACCTGAGTGTTCCCTTCCGACCTGCGCCCCCGTGTTGTGGTTCCAGCCGTGCAGAGTGAGCGGAAGCCCTTCGACGTGCAGCGGGAGAAGCCCAGCAACTGCGCGGCCTCCACCGAGAAGATCTACATCCGGAAGGACCTGAGGAGCCCCCTCATCGCCACCCCCACCTTCGTGGCGGACAAAGATGGGGCCAGGTCAGTCCCCAGGCGGCCAAAGCCGGTCGGGGGGGCAGGGACGGCGCCCTGGGCCTGGGGCGGCCCCCAACTCACGGCCGGACAGGCCTGGGGGGCTCCCCGTCTGCAGACGGGGTCAGAAATCTCCCCCCCGTCTCGGCTCACGCCTGTCAGCCCGGCACTCTGGGAGGAGGCCGAGGAGGGAGGATCGCTCGAGGTCGGGAGTCGGAGGCCGGGCCTGAGCATAAGCGCGAGACCCCCGTCTCTACTGTAAAATAGAAAGAAATCAATTGGCCAACTACAGTTATGTGTCATCTGGGCGTGGTGGCGCGTGCCTGTGGTCCCAACTACTCGGGAGGCCGAGGAGGGAGGATTGCTTGAGGTCGGGAGTCCGAGGCCGGGCCTGAGCATAAGAGCGAGACCCCGTCTCTACTGTAAAATATGAAGAAATCAATTGGCCAACTACAGTTATATGTCATCCAGGCGTGGTGGCATGTGCCTGTGGTCCCAGCTACTCGGGAGGCCGAGGAGGGAGGATCACTCGAGGTCGGGAGTCGGAGGCCGGCCTGAGCATGAGAGCGAGACCCCGTCTCTACTGTAAAATAGAAAGAAGTTAATTGGCCAGCTACAAATATATATATATATAAAAATGAGCCGGGCGTGGTGGCACACGCCTGTAGTCCCAGCTGCTCGGGAGGGAGGCCAAGGTGGGAGGATCGCTTGAGGTCAGGAGTTTGAGGCCAGCCTGAGCAAGAGGGAGACCCCGTCTCTACTAAAAAAATGAAATAGAAAGAAATGAGCTGGACAAGTAAAAATATACAGGAAAAATTTAGCTGGGCGTGGAGACGCGTGCCTGTCGTCCCAGCTACTTGGGAGGGAGGCTGAGGCAGGAGGCTCGCTGGAGGCCAGGAGTCGGAGGCTGCTGTGAGCGAGTCTGACGCCACGGCACTCACTCCAGCCTGGGCGACAGAGGGAGACTGTCTCAAAAAAATAAAATAAAATAAAATATAAAAAAACATAAAATAAGAAGATAAAAAAATAAAAGAAAGAAAATAAAATAAGATAATAAAAAATATATAAAATATAATAAAATGTAAAATAAAGTAAAATAAAACAAGGAAATAAAAAAATAAAAGAAATGAAGTAAAATAAGAAAAGAAAATGTAATAAAATATGAAATAAAATAAAATAAGAAAATAAAAAATAAAAGAAAGTAAAAGAAATAAAATAAGAAAATAAAAAATATATGAAATATATAAAATATAAAATTAAAGCAAAATAAAACAAGGAAATAAAAAAATAGAAGAAATAAAGTAAAATAAGAAAAGAAAATAAAGTAAAATAAAATAAGAAAATAAAAGAAACAAAGTAAAATAATAAAATAAAAAATAAAATATAAAAAAGTAAAATAAGAAAATAAAAAATAAAAGAAA